TATTTAGCAACTGACAATATTGATGGCTAAAATATAAAAATTGGTCACATTTTTAGCCACCAAAATATCCACTGATTACAATTGGTGGCTAATATATTGGTTGCAAACACATTTAGAGACAAAAAATGCATTCAATTGCAGAAATATGAATTTAGCAACTGAAAAATTTTGGTCGCTATTTTGCCACCACCTAGCTGATAGTTATTTTGGTTACTAATTGCAACCCCAAATTTCAATAGCTAATGTGGTTGCTAATTGGTTGTACTCTGTTGCTAGCATTTTAGTGGCAAAATCGGTTGCAATTTTACATCTACCTTTTTCGGTTGCTATTTTGGTGGCTAAATTTCATCAAATATTTGGTTGCTAAATTGGTCGCTAAGTCGGTGGCTAAATTTGGTGGCTAATTATAATGAATAATTTTAATTTTTTAAACTTTTTTTTCAACAAGACTTATTTGTATGACAAAACATGCTTACTACTTGACATAATATTTAACAAAACCTGCTAATAGTCAAAAACTACAAACATGGTAAAAAAATATATCTAAAGAAGTAAAATACATCTTACAATTCATAACAATATATATTTACTCCATAACAAAAGTATACCTCATTTTATAAGAAAGGTACAATTATTGACATAACAAATAGAAAAAAAAGGTCCTAAATCATGAACATGGATCAATGTCACTATGAGGAGAACCAACATCATCACCATCAACATGAGAATCATCCATTTGGGTACTGGTAGAAATTTCCAAGTGTTGAACAACTTGTTGGAGAATGTTCTCGGTCTTCTGTAATTTTAAATTGGTCCTTTGTAATTTAGATTGCATAGTGTCAATGTGTGTGTCCTTTGCTGCTAATTCAACATTAAGGTTGACAATGATCTGTTGATAGTTAACACTAGAACTAGGATCAGACTGAAGTATAAGAAGAGGATGACATCACAAACTCTTCACCCAATTGTCCTAACCTATACATGTGACTTTTCTTGTTTTTTCCTCCAAGAACTTATAAAAAAATGGCATTGTCAGCAGCTACAAAATGGTCACGTGAGGCACATTCTTCATCATGATCATCTTTGTCATGTGCATGGACTTCAGTTTGACGTCGAATAAACTCATCCTAAAAAAAATTAAATAACATATTAGTCATAATTTATAATAAAAGTGAGGCAAAAATTTATAAAAAAATAATATTTAGAAAGGTACATACATCAATGTTTTTGGCTTTGTCATTGACCCATTCTCTGGCTTTTTTTTTTTTTTTTGTCTTTCCCATTATATCAAATGCTGTGGGAACTCGCTTAAGTTGCTCAGTTTGCATAATAATACAAGTGTAAAGTTCCAAAGAAGGAAATGACTGAAAAAAACAGATAGTTTAAATAATTACCATTCTATTACGATGCACAACAGCAAATACAGAGCCACTAGTGTACAAAGATGCTCCACCATCTACACCTCTATTTTGTTTAGCAATAGTGCTTTTCTTCTGAAACTCTTCTCCTGCCCAATGAGTGTGCAACTTTTCCATCACTTCAGAAGTGATCCAAAGGTCCTTATCTTTACCGCTTCGTAACTTAGACATTATGTTGTTTAAAATCATAGAGTCTTTATGCTAAAAAATGGATCTAATGATAAGATTATGTTAAGAGAGCCATTTGTATGTTTTCTGCAAATAAAAAAAATCAAACAGAGAAATACAATAACATATATAGAAGTCATTAATAACATGGAATACAAGAGTAATTTTGTTAAAACTATTCCCCTCCCTCTAATATTTAACATAATCACCCCATGAATATATATGCATGACAATTATTTTATTTTTGCTTACATGTTAGAGACATTTGATGGGTTTAATATTTACAAAACACAATGACTTTAAAATATGTTACCTTAAATTCTTCAAACCACGTATTCCTCACTTCTTATGGCACCTTGGTCCAAGTAGGCCATAGATTATCAAACTTAAACTTGATTATTTTGGAAATAACCTTCGAAGGACTATTTGAAGATAAATAACTATTAAAAAAAATAAAGATAACATAGAATAAATAGTTATAAAGAAATTTTTTTGATATAATATATGCATAAATAAACATACTTACTTATGTTTGGCTCCTGAGGCAAGCCATATTTTCTTATCAGTGGAATCTGTAGTTTTGATAAGTCTGTAATTAGGTCCTCTTTTATAGCTCATATATTTATATTTAACCTTTATTTTATTTGGGTTTTACACAAATTTATATATTAATTAGGCAGTTTGGTATAAAGATGCCGCAAGTATACTTTGGGTGTGTTTTGGGCCCAAATTGATAGAAGATTAGAGCTTCGTAGCAGTTAGCATGCCCAGACCCTTTCAACAAGCATTGAGGGGTGCTTCGAGCCCATGCACAGTCGTGCTTAAGGCCTTGCACGACCATGCTCATTTGCGGGAAGCCCAATTATAAAGAGTCTTTAGGATTTTCAGACCCTATTAAAAGGAAGACCTAAGGCACCTTGAGAACCCCATTTTTTGACACCTAGTCTTGGACACTTCTCATCTCTTTTCTCGTGCACGGGATCCTAGGCATATGCTTGGCTGGACTTGGAGCTTTGAGTGATCGTACTTGAAGATCGGGAACTCATCTCATTTTAGTTTGCTTTTCTTTATGACTTTGTTTATGATTGTTTTAGTTCTTTTCTTTAGCATGAGTCTAAGTCCATAACTAGGACTATGAGACCTATTGTTCATGAATTTATGAGATTTTGATATTTGAAGCTAAATTTGATTTCTGTTTTGTGATTAGATTTTATCCTATTGCGCTTTTTTCTTAATCCTAGTTAATTATATCGTCAGGCGACCATACCTTGGTTAATTAATAGATCTATAGGATAAAACGAAACAAAAGATTAGGTGGACCAAACCAATCTTTCTCTTCTAATCATTATTAAATTAACAAGTTCATAGGTTCCTTAAACTCTCTTAAATTGATGTCTTGCATGATCATTGGGGATGTTAATTTAGAGAAAAGAATATTATTATTGCATGACCATTGGGTATTAATAGTATTCGTATGAATGATTGGTAATCACAAGGAAATCGAATTTAGAGTTAAACAGAAAAATAACATAAAAGATTGAAAGAGAAAACCCATATGCCCTATGTTCCTCTCCGATAAGTTTAACCAAGACGTGCATTGTATTCCTTGCTCTTAGTTTTATAATTGATATTATAAATTCTTATTTTTAATTAATCTCGTATCTTTGAAGCTTAAACAATTGAATTAGAAATTTTTTAGTAATTGGAAATCAATCCTTGTGGGACGATATTTCGAGAACTTAATTGAAGAACCCTTTATTACTTCTCGATGGGTACAATTGGCCTTCGTACAAGTTTTTGGCGTCGTTGCCGGGAATTGCTTTTTCAATATTAAGAAAATCTCAGATTTAATTGATTTGAGTAATTTGTATTTTATTTTATTTTAATTCTGTTTTGTTTATTGTTAAATTTATCTTTTATATTTTATAATTTTTTTATTTTTTTTTATTTCACAATTTCTTTTAATGTATGTTCACTCGTTCTAAGTGTTTTACAACTTGTTTATTTGATTTGGAGATTTGAAAGAACAGTTCGTAGACAAAGAAAAGAAGTGAGAGAGCAAAGAATGACAGAGAGAAGGAGATCAATTCAAGATTGCATGACATTCATTGCTAGAGGCACTCTTGGAAGTATCGCGGCATCTAATGTGGAGGCAAACAATTTCGAATTGAGACCAGCACTCATAAGCATGGTTCAAAATTCTATACAGTTTGGGGGCATGCCTAACGAAGATCCCAATCTTCATCTGACAAAGTTCCTCCGATTGATAGATACCATAAAATACAATGGAGTCTCCAACGATGCTATTCGACTCCGTCTTTTCCCGTTCTCGGTATCTGAAAAGGTGACTGCTTGGTTTGCCTCACTCCTAGCCAATTCCATCACAACTTGGGAGGATCTCAACAATTCTTGAGAAAGTACTTTCCTCCATCAAGGTCCTCTAAACTTATGACGGAGATATGTTGCTTCCAACAATATGAAGCAGAAATCTTATTCGAGGCATGAGAGCGATTTAGAGAGCTTTTGAGGAGATGTCCTCATCATGATTTTCTGACGTGGAGACAGGTGAAAATCTTTTACAATGGCCTATCAATCACCACCAGAGCTACAATTGATGCCACAGCAGGAGGGTCCCTCATAAGGAAAGATCTAGCTGATGCATACAAGTTAATAGATGAGATGACATCTTCTAGCTTTCAATGACACACTACTGACTCTTACGACATCAAGAGGAAAGAGACCAGCCCAGTCTACCAAGCAGAGAGCAGCAGCCCATTAATGAACCAAATGGCAGCCTTTGCAAAGCAACTAGAATCTTTAATGAAGGCTCAAGATCAACCTGTAAGAGCTCCTGCAAGCCTAGAATCTAAGTAAGAGGAGACAAATTTCATGGGCAATTACAGTTCAGTGTGGAGGAGTAATCCTCCTAACTCTTGGGGAATGGCTTTGGAAGTCAAAATTCAAGTTTTTATCGCCCTCCGCATATGCAAAGTCAGGGAGTAAGACTAGAAGGAAAAGAAGCTCTTAGATCTCAGTCCAACTTTCAAGAACAAATGATGCAATATGTGCATTACTCTGATAAGAGGATGACAGAACTTGAATCTAAATTGGACGAACATATTGAGAGAACCGATAAGAAGTTCGCAGAGGTCAAATATGAAATATAAGCCAACTCTTCAAAGATGAGTGCACAATGGGAGCAAATTACGAATTTTCTGAGTCAAAGAGTGATGGGAACATTGCCATTTTAGCCTGAACCTAATCTAAGGGAGCAATGCAACGCCATCACCCTTAGAAGTGGAAAGAAATTACAAGAATCGCAGAACAGAAGCACATGCACGCTCATGCTTGTTGAGAAGCACGCCTATGCTGATTCTACATGCACACCCGTGCTTACTAATGAGCACGTCCCTGCTACAATAGAAGCATGACCGTGCTTATACAAGGACGCCCATGACAGTAATAAAAGAACGACCATGCATCACTATGAGCAAGACCGTGCTTCAATCGAGGAGTCTGAAAAAGAAAAGAAGAAAGAGCCTCTTGTTCAACCAAGGCCTTATGAGCCTAAGATACCTTTCCCACAGCAGCTGCAAGGTCACCCTCCTTATGATGAAGAGTTCCACAAGTTCTTAGACTTATTGGGCAAAGTGCACATCAATATGACTTTCATTGATGCTATCTCCAAAATGCTCAAATATGATAAATTTTTAAAGGAGATTTTGACCAATAAAAGGAAGTTGAAAGCATATGAAACAGTGAAGCTCACCCAGGAGTGCTCAGCTATAGTCCTTAAAAAGCTTTCACCTAAGCTTAAGGACCCAGGGAGTTTTACTATTCCTTGCACAATTGGAAAAACTCATATTGATAAGGCTTTATGTGATTTAGGAGCAAGTATTAATCTTATGTCGTATTTTGTTTTCAGGAACCTTGGAATGCATAAACCTAAGACGACCTCCATGTCACTTCAGCTGGCAGATAGGTCGATCACATATCCCAAAGGCATAATAGAGAACATACTTGTAAAAGTTGGGGAGTTTATATTTCTTGCTGACTTTGTGGTACTTGACATGGAGGAAGATGATGATGTCCCCATCATACTAGGGAGACTATTCTTGGCCACTGCTAGGGCCATCATAGACGTACAAGAAGGGAAGCTCACACTGAGGCTAGATAATGAGGAAGTTGTATTTCAAGTTTTCAATTCTTTCAAGTACCCTTCTAGCCAAGAGTCTTGTCACTTTGTGAGCACTATAGATGTTGTTTCTCCTCCTCTAATTTATGTGAAGCATGGAACCACAAGAAGAAGGCCAAGGAGGAACCAGTATAAGAAGAAGAAAAGAGAAAAACTTAAACCATCTATTAATAAGCCTCCTAATTCGAAGCTTAAATTTTCTTCTCTTTATTCTCATCCCCATCTTATGAATAATTTTTCTGATATAATAGGTGTTGGGGAGGCAAAGCTTCTGGGGAGACAATTGCATATCAAGGGAGTCACCTCTGAGACTCATACCTTCTTTCCACCATGATTTAACAGGAATGTCAGGCTCGTGACGTTAAACAAACGCTCTCAGAAGGCAACTTGTGTCTTTTATTTTATTTAAATTTTATTTCTTTTTGTTTATTTTGATTTTGCTATTGTTATTTTAGTTTTAGAATAAATAATAAGCATATTGAAAGATTGCAAGAACGGAGTTGATCGTTCCCGCACACACTTTTGAGCTCTAATCTGCAAGCACGCCCGTTCACATTCTATACACGGCTGTGCATTCAGTCACAATTATGAGAGAAGCTTTACATCATAAGCATGAGCATGCTTAAGATTTCAGCATAGCCGTGCTCTCTCACCCGAAGTGGTCATGTCAAGAATTATCAGGGAACCTTTTTTTTTTTTCAATCGCCGTTTTTACATGCTTTTAATTTGATTGCTTTCAAATATTGAGGACAATGTTTTGCTTTAAGTATGAGAGAGTAGTTCCTAATTATATGATTGTTAATGCATGTTCTTGAGTAAAGTGTCTATGCTATTTTTTTTTATGATAATTTAAAACTTTTTCCCTCATGAAACCCAATTTTTCCAGATAGAAGAGCATGTTGAGTGATTATTATTGGCATTATACTTTCATTTGGAAACTAATAATTAGCTAAGTTCCTTACTTTTATGCTCTACATTAAACTTTAACCCACAGGTGTGAGCTTTGAGCCTTAAAGGAGATTTCTATCTTAATTCAATTAATTGTACCCCTTTCCTCATTGTTTTGTGTGATTATCTCCTTAGGATTTGTGCTCTAGAACTTGACTTGGAACCGACTTAAGATTTCTCTTTTTAATTGCATGTTTTTAATATGATTGAGACATAATAGGATTTTTATTCTTAGCCTTCAGCATGTTTGAGATACACTAGTTGTCCATTTTGAGCTTTATTGATTTTCTTGGTCCCTTGCATTAAATTTATAAAATATTTTGATGACCTTGAGTTTATGAATGGAGCAATTGAGTTGTTGAATTGTTTGATTAATTCTCCTCTATATCTCTCATGTGCAAAAAGAAAGAAAGAAAGTATGAAAAAGAAAATAAAAAATAGAAAAAAAGAAAAGAAAAGAAAAATGGTTATATATGATTGAAAGGAGAGAAGTGTAAAGATATGGTTTATATACAAAAATATAAAAATTAATCCAAGAGCTTCATTTGTAAACTTAGGGGATGTTTATAATTTTTATAATTTATTACCCCTTTGTATATCTCCTTCCTTTTATTTATCTCACCTCAATTATTATAACTCTTTAGCCACATTATAACCTGAAAAAGACCTCATGATTTTGACTTGCATTTAATTTATTTAGTGGAGAGTCGGTTTATAGTCAAGCCTATGGTAGTACACTTTTCTTTAGAAGAATTGAGTGATATCTTATTTTGTCCCTTGGTGAGAGACGAAAGTAGAGTACCTTAGTTTGACATTTGAGTGAAAAGTATGGAATTATAAGATTTTAATTGAGAATCCTTTTGATTGCTTATGCTCATTGATATTACTCTTTTTGCTCTCTTTATCTCCGTTGTTTTGGGTTTTGTGTGTGGTATTATGTTTTAAGTTATTATGTTATTTACTTAACCAGCACTTTGCTTGAGGACAAGCAAATAGATAAGTATGAGGGAGTTGATAAGTCTGTAATTAGGCTCTCTTTTACAGCCCATATATTCATATTTGACCTTTATTTTATTTGGATTTTACACTAATTTATATATTAATTAGGCAGTTTGGTATAAAGATGCCGCAAATATACTTTGGGTGTGTTTTGGACCCAAATTGATAGAAGATTAGAGTTTTGCAGCAGTCAGCATGCCCAGACCCTTTCAGCAAGTACAGGGGTGCTTCGAGCCCATGCATGGTCGTGCTTAAGGCCTTGCACGACCATGCTCATCTGTGGGAAGCCCAATTATGAACAGTCTTTAGGGTTTTCAAACCCTATTAAAAGGAAGACCTAAGGCACCATTAAGAAACCCTTTTTTTGACACCTAGTCTTGGACACTTCTCATCTCCTTTCTCGTGCACAGGATCCTAGGCATATGTTTGACGGGACTTGGAGTTTCGAGCGATCATACTTGAAGACCGGGAACTCATCTCATTCTTGTTTGCTTTTCTTTATGGCTTTGTTTATGATTGTTTTAGTTCTTTTCTTTAGCATAAGTAACTAAGTCCATAGCTAGGGCTATGAGACCAATTGTTTATGAATTTATGGGATTTTGATATTTGAATCTAAATTTGATTTCCGTTTTGTGATTAGATTTTATCCTATTGCGCTTCTTTCTTAATCTTAATTAATTATATCGTTAGGCAACCATACTTCGATTAATTAATAGATCTGTAGGATAAAACGAGACAAAAGATTAAGAGTTCTTTTCTGTTCTTCACGTTGTAGGGTGTTGGGAGGTAGCTGGACAAGTCTGCCCCCTTGTTAGAAACACACACAATTTATTTTATTTCAGTCAGGAAAGTTTCAAGGTCACAACTTGGCAAGTGAAGGAATGACACTTGAAATTCAATGGCAATTGCCAACTACAATTACTTCATGCATATGGTAGCAAAGGTTTGGATTGTGAATAAGGATGGAAGAATGAAATCTGTTCTGCTTTGTATATTATTGTTATGAACATGCACACATGAAATGAAAATCAAAATCAACATTGCTGAAAAAAAAAAGAATGACAAGGGAAATAACATATTAAATTCTGAATTAAAATAAATAAATAAATAATTTTTTTTTCTAAATATTTTGGATATAATTAGATCAACCGTGTATATTAAAAGACAGATTGAAATAATAATAATAATTCAAATTTTCTAGAGAAATCAAAGTAGAAATATTGGGATGTTACATGCATAGTAATACTTATTAAAATGGTTTGAACCACTCTCTAATGTTTTTTTGTTGCAGTGACTTTTAAGTTAATGTGTTTATATAAGGTAACCCTCCTATTTCATGTAATTGAAGAAAAACTATCATATGTAATTCTAATTTTTTACACTTCTAGAACATGGAGAATAAGTTTTAAATAACAAAGAAAGGTTGGTCACGTGATCAAAAACACCTAAATCAATGATCCATGGTACATACATATTCGAACTGTAGTTAAGGAACTAGAAGTACTAAAAATACTTGTGCCAAAAAACCACTAGGAGTACTATATAAAGAACTAGATTTCAACAACCTAATGAGTTGCCTAACTTGTTCCTTGCTCAAGGAGACCTTTTTTGCCTTATGAGTTGTAAAGAAAGGTCTAAGTGTTTTAGGACCTTATTTGTTGCTCTTTAAATGTACTGGTCTACCATAAATTTTTCAACAAGTTGCTCAAGTGTGACACGGTTTATTAATTGAAGTGGTCACACCAAAGATTTGAGTTCTTATAGTCTGTTGAACTCTTAAAGGCAACAACTTCTGTAACAAATACATGTCTCAAGGGGCGTTGGATCAACTTTGGTCTTTCTTACCATTAGACTTCTATGAGTTTCCTCTCTTGTAACTTCTACAAAGACTTCTTTTAGTGAAGGTAAACTTGTTTTCCCAATTATTCTTCTCAAACTTTATCTAGCTCCTCATTGAGACTTGCAAGGAATTAAAACATTCTTCTTGTTTTCATTGCTTGTTGATGGTGTTTTCCATTCTTGGCCGACTTTCACTTATATTTCGTAGACTTCAATATCTTGTCATGCTTATTTCAAGGAGTGAAAGTATCTTATCATGTTGTCAACTGCCTATCAAATTTCTCTAGCTTGTTAGGTGAGTTCATACATCTAAGCTTTATTCCTATTTGAATTTATTTCTTTAACGCCATCCCACAATTCTTTGATTGTGGAATAACACATATAGTTGCTACTAGTGTTTTCCTTCATGGAGTTGACCAACCATGTCGTAACCATGGAGTTTATAGCGTCCTACACAACATGTTGTAGGTTAGTAATTTTTGGCTTGGGGCGCTCACCTGTGAGCTATTCAAGACATCCTATGTCAAAGATATACATCTAAATAGATTCTGACCACTAGAGATAGTTCAACCAATGAGATAAGAGGAGGTAATTTGGACAGAATGTGATTCCCACAAAAAGACATTTTGCTCTTGATTTGGAAGCAAGGTCTTTCATTGGAATTGCTCCTATTTTGATCATTGTTGGTAGCTAAGAATTTTCAGCCATGGATACAAATAAGAGGCGTAAAGACCTAACTCTAATACCAAATTGAATAACTTAATATTATTGATACCTTAATTGTAAAGAGACTCCTCCTTTTTTGTAAAGGAAATTACATAATAGTAATTGGCTAAAATTAAGAAAATCAATACCTAAATTAAGGAAAAATATATTATAATAATTACTTAAATTAAACTAAATTAAAAAAAAGTAAATTTACAATTAAATATATTTACCAAAATATCATAAATTATAAAGGAAAATTCCATGCTCTTTTAATACTTGCAGACATCAAATGTTAAGTTAGTTTAATGACATTTGATAAATGTTGCAAAAGATCTCAATATAATCAGTAGTTTAAAAATTGTCATCAATAATATGTGCTAAATCCCTATAGCAACATAGAGTTTATACTACATTTATCAAAATTTTGCTAATAAAATTAGTAACATTTTTTAAATATTATTAAAAGTCAACTACGTTACTGATTATGGTATATTTTAATTGATTGATAATGTAAAAAAGTTATATTAATAATATATTAAAATTAAATTATATTTTAAATATAATTTTACGTAAGTTAAATAAAATTGTTATGAATTATATTTTTAAAATATTTAATGAATTATATATTAAGACTCAAATTTAAGTTCATTCTAAAATAAGATTATTTTTAGGAAAATTTAAATAAAAATGCTTTTAAAAATTAGTTCTGTTTATCATACCATGTGATTTTTTCACATTGTATATTTGTTTTCTAAGATTATTTATATAATAAAGTTTACTTGATAACTGCAATCAGCTTATTTCTTTTCTCCTACAAAAGCAACGTGAATTTTATTTGATTTAAAAAATTGACCAAGAATTTTTAAAATCCAAACGGATAACGGGGCAGATAGTCACCATCTCGTAGAAATTAGAAAAGATAAATTGCTAAGCAACTGCAAGGAGTAATGACACATATAGTGGTAAGGTAATATGGAAGCGTGCCTAAAATTCATTGCTGTCTCTTTCTTATTTCTATTTGATCAGCTTCAGTCTTCTCACCAAATCTGCAACCAGAAATGTCAAACTGTTAATCAATTAAATGGTGAAAAGAAAAATCAAAGTGCAAAAGAATTAGAAGTTGAACAAATTGTAATGATAATGATGATAAGGATCGATAACTAGATGACCAGGATATAAGACCATCACGCAAGAGTTTGAATAATTAGTTTCTATAAAATTCTCAAATTTTAATTTTGTCTTGATTAAACTAATTTAATTTATTTTTGAATTTTATAAAATGCAAAAAAAATACTTTTAATCTTCCAAAAGTTAAACAGAAATAAAATTTAGTTAGAGACTAAAATTAAGATTTGACTCTCGACTAAGAATATTTTTTTTAAAAAAAGAGGCGAACGAACTCAACTTACCGTCACAGATTTGGAACAGAAACCAAAATGGATTAAATTCTATTAATGATCAAAGCAAGGATCACAATCTAAAACCCCAATCCTTTTCGATTATATACATCACATATATACATATTATCTTCAATTTTCTTTAGATCACAACGGATTCTTAATTGTTCAATCATCCATTCGGACCATATCAAACGACAGAAGACATGCGCTAGTGCCTAGTGCCGGTGGGTGCAGTTCGAATGAGGTAAACGACACCCCGATTCCCCTGAATGCGGGGATAACCAGAGTAGGCTAAAGGAACATTCGACTTCTTCATAGCGGTAGCCGGTGACATCTGACGTACCACAACCGGGCGCAGAGCCGTAACCGTAGGCCAGAAAAACGACAGCGTGGAAGACGACGACGTTTTTGACAGAGTGGGCAAAGAGAAAAGGAAGGCTCTGATTTTTAAAGACGAAACGTGGTCGTATTCGTCTATGAGGTTAGTGAGGTCTTCGTCAGAGGTGATGGAAACCAAATCGTCGAGGTCTTCGGTGGGTAACTGGCAACGGAGGTGGGTGACGTGTGAGCCACATAGTTCTCCCAATTTCACCATAAGCCCTGAAACAAATTAACTTAACGGTAACGGATTGGCGTTAACGTGACGGAAAATGTAAGCGAGGAGTGATGATCTAACCGGAAAAGGGAGTGGAGCGAGGGAGGGCGAGGACGCGGGTGTGGCCGCCGAGGTAACGGAGCTTGCCGTCTGGATAACGGGGGAGGATTTTGCCGCCGTAGCTGCAGAGGAATTTGAGGGTGGATTTGTCCGCTTGGGAGGGACCCACCATGGTGTGTTCGGAAGGAATAGTGAGATGTGTTCAAGGCAAAGTATCTTTGAAGCTGCTTTGGCTGTGAAATGGATGACTCGTGGTTTTGTGTAGCCTCTTCAAGCTTCTTTACCTAATCATTTGCCCTGCATTTATAGGGATTATTAGGGATACCCTACACGGAGCCTTCTGCATAACATGATTCTGGTGATTAGCTGTGTAGAACAATTCTAATTTTTTCGATGTTTCATGTTGGATTATTTTAACACATGTTGGACGATAGTTAATAAAAAATTAGCAGTGTTAATTTAATGGTTTAAGAAATGAGGCTAATTATTTAATAAGACAATTTTTATATTTGAATTTTCTTGTGTAAAATAATTTTTTCGAGTTAGCAGCCTTTAAAAATTAGTCTTCAATTTTTTTTAGACTCAGATAAATCTCGTTGTCTCTAATATATTATATATATATATATATATATATATATTCATATTTAAAGTGTTATTAATATTATTAAACTTTGATATTTTATAATTTATAATAAAAATACATACATGTACTTTTATTATGTGCTTTTAAATATATCTAAGCAAATTATTTTATGTTTACAACTTTTAAATTTTTAAATAAAAAATTGTTAAATAAATGTTATTTTTAAGATGATAAATATATGTATTTCTTATTTAATACTATTTTATAAAATAGTAGAAGAACTATTCAGAAGATATATAAATGGATATAACCAAACTCTAATTTTTTGTGTATAGTATTTGAACTATTGTAAGAGATGCTATATTATAGAAAACATTTAAAATATAAACAATATTGAAAAAAATTAATCCAAATAGAAAGGGGCGATACAACAAGTGATTTGGTATCGCTTAAATAAGGTTTTTAAGTTTAAATTTTTGTGTATGTAAAAAAATACTCATCTACCATATTTAAGTGTGTAATTCGGGCTAGATCTAAATTAAATTGGATGAAAAATAAAAATAAAATAAAATATACTTTTAAATAATCTCTCAAATGGTATAAAGAATATTTTTTCTTTTTGTAGGTATCTTAAAATAAGGTTAACTTAAAATAGATAAGCAATAATGTATTAATTTGTATGGACTTAAAATTTAAGAATAAGAATAAGTTTTATTTGCATAGGATAAGTATTGTTAAATTAAAATATATTTTTTAAAAAATATATAATATATTATATGGTTATTTTTAAAACAAAAAAAAGTTATCAAATAAAATAGTTTTTTATTATATTAAAAATGTATCATTTAAAGAGAAACTTTTTAAAATTAAGAAATAAATCATAAAAAATTTAAAGTGTAGTTAAGATTGAGTTTAAAAAATTATTAAATATAAGAAAAGTTGTGTGACTAAATGAAAAAGGAAATAATTTTTAAAAACAGTATTATCATTTAAGATAATTCTTAATGGTAATTTTATTAAAAAAATAATAAATCATGTTTAATATACAGAAATTTATTAAAATCAGGGTTATTATATTTTGAAAAATAATAATTATATTCATACCCATACATATTATTTTTTTTTATCTTTTATTACCTCATTTTTTTTATCATATCACATCTTCTCTCACTTTTTTCCCCCTCTCTATCTTCATTTTTTTCAATCTCATGCACTCAAAATTAAGGTGTATGACAAATATTAGTTTTTGAAAAATTTGCATAGGGGATTACACACCTGTACGAAACCTTTTTCTCATGGAGGCTATTCCCCCAAGTATATGGTAAGTATTTTGTGATCATTTTTGTTTCTAAAAGCAAAAGGGTTTCATTATGTAATTATTTACATTTTTTTGTATTTTTTAAAAACTTTTAGAGCTATTATTTGGTTTTTAAATAATTTACCATCATAAATTTTACATATACTTTCAATCAAAAAATATCTTTTGAAAAAGTATAGAATGTTATAAATATGAGTATTCGTTGTACAATGTTATGACATCTCTTATTATGTTCTACTTTTGTAACGCGTGATTTTACTGCTATTTCATCTTTTAAGAACTATGAAATTAATTTTAAATTTTTATTTTGTATTGATATTTTTTATTAATCTTAAACTATAAATTCTTTTAAAATTTTCTCTTTTCAATTAAAATTTGAATTATTATTTTTACTTAAATTAACATTATTGTGTAATGTATTAATTATTTGCTAGTAAAATATTAATCTTAAGCTTTCTCCACAACTTAAATAATGAAATTTATAATTATTTTCTTTGCCTATGAATACTCACTTGTTTGCTTATGTTTATATGACCTGTCATTTACAATCTAAATTTGCAGTTTCAAGGGATTCAAACTTTTATATTGATGTTGATCATAATATTAAAATTATGAAATTTTGGTTAAATATCAAGATTTAGATTCACCCTTTAAATAATATTGAAGAAAATAAAATTTTTAAAAACGACTTACAAAAGTTAAAAAAATGGTTATCAAAAGATGCTCAAAATGTAACGTATACGTCACCACACTACTACTGGACACCCTACCATTATCACACCCCTCCACCATCCCTTTCCTTATCATGAGGACAATGATGTTGAGACTCTTCAGGATGATTAGGAGCATTTTCAGGAGTCTGTGGATCCGGAGATATGTCACAATGACCAATTTCTACCCTATTAGCGGGCAAGAACTAATTAACTTTTTTCTTTTATCATTATTTAATTTTATAACAAATTATGTTTTCCTTATATCATTATCTTAGTTTTGCTACGGTTTTATGAAAGCGCAATAGCATCTTAAACGGTTGCGTAGAATCTCTAAGAGAAACTTTATGCAAAAGGGCTCGAAACACCTGCCCAACATGTTATGCATTATTCAATATAAAATCGAAGCCCTAATTGGATAAGTAACACCTAGATTGGAGTAATATGTTATCGAAGATTAGAAACAAGAACGTTAAGTTGCAAAAGAGAATTTATTTCTGGCATAACTTAATTCTGAATTCACTTTTTAAAGTTAACACAATGACAGTAATGATCTGTGTAAATCTTGTCCAAAATACAAAAGAACAGAATTGATTTTTCTAATCTTCAAGTAAAGGATTAACCAAATTTTAAGGTGCAGTGTTATAATTTTTAGACAGACAGCTAATTCACATGCAATAAATGATAATAAATTAGGAGTTATTGACCATTTAAAAGTTAATATATTGAAGTAATAAGTTTTTAATAAAATGTATCACATATAATTTGCGCAATGTAAAAGTAAAACTAAATGAAAAATAGCTAGCAGATCGTGGCACCCAAATGATGAATAATATACGGGCACTGGAGAGAAATAAGTCTCTACGTTAGGAATAAATTGTGGAGCATGTAGCAGTTCGACTAATATGTTCGGATAAGTTTAAGTTATATGTTTATTATTTTTATTTAACTTTCTTATTTTACAAATGACTAACTTGACTGGGAAGTTTACATGGATGAGTTCTTTCTAAGACCAATGTCAAAAAACCGGTGATTTTGTCGACAAACACTTTGGAGAGACTATGGCATGCCAATTTTCAACTTTATAGTGAATAATCATAGTATATTATTCGATATTTGTTAAGATTTGTGGGCAAAACAGATTTAGTCTGAAGCAGCCTTAAATGAGCAGTTTTATAAAAAATTAAAAGTTAATTTATAATTAAAAGCTTATTCATATTTTTCTCTCTTTTCACTCTCTTAAAAGTAAAAGAAGGTTACTCACACTTAACGTGTTCTAACAATTTCTTAGTTTCTTACATAGTTACTCTTATTCGACTTCTCATTTCAAGAGAGCTATAAAATTATGCTATGATAGGTTTCTGAAACTACGAAATATCAACGAATTCTTTGGTGAAGTGGATAAGTAAGTTTGATACGCGAATTTTACTTTCTCGTCCCAACAATCGAAGCATCAGCAGACTGGGTAAGCTAAATCATAACAAGAATCTTAATTTGTTGCAGAATCTATATCTGTTGCAAAATCTGCAGAATAAACATCAATAGGCTCAAAATCTGAAGTTGGAAGTTGGCTAGGAAAGATTACTCCTGCTGCTGAGAAGGTCTACGATGAAGCGAGCCCTCCCATTCACACTGTTCTCACAAACTCTTAGTTTCTCAAATCTCACATTCTTCCACTTTATGCTAGGATCGTATCTCAAGTTTCTCTCCCTCCTCACTTTGCTTTTTCCTTTTGGATTTCAAAAATCTTCTAGCTCTATTTTATAATTTGCAAAACCCTACTCAATAACTTTAGCTCAACTTTTGTTTCTGTACATGGAATGCATTATTATTATTATTATTATTATTACGTTGAATGTTGCTGGAAATCTTTGGATGTGGAAGAATTTTTGAGGTGTTTATATTTAATGAAAATCTCTCCCAAATTTATATGTTCAAATGTCTTCCATTTGTTCTTGCTAAGTAGAAAGAGAGAAATTCTGATGTTACTATAGGCGATTTGGTTAATAGTTTTTTCATTTGTAATGCTGGTCGTAAAGTAATATTGGTTAGATTTCTGGAGGATATAAACAGTAAGGTTACACGCTAAAAAAATCAAATTGGTTATCAATTTTATTTTTATGGCATTGTTTTATTTGGGCTATAGTCTATGTTATAGTTTTGCTTCATTTCTGTTCTTCTTTCTCTCTCAAATTTATATATTCAAATGTCGTTCATTTGTTCTTACTAAATAGAAAGAGGGGAATTCTGATGTTACTATAGATGATTAGGTTATAGTTTTTCCATAATGCAATAACGCTTTATACCATTTATTTCTCTCCAATAGAATAACTAAAGATTGAAGTTTAATACAAAAATACTTATGCATAATGTTCATTCCCATATAGAATACATTCATCGCACCATATATCCTAATATTTGTTTGAAGACTTGCTAGGGACCCACCTCATAATGCATTGTCAAAAGTTTGATTATGATGTAGTGAAGATAGTAGTGATGATTTTGATAATATTTAATTATAATGATTATAATAGTTATAAGGATTACATTTAATATAATAT